TAAAATTTGATAAATGTGTTGAAATCATTGAATTTTCAAACAGATAAAGCAGAGCCGTTTCTCTTCCTTCTCTCCCCCCTATTCAAAGTGAGGTTTCTGTGAAGCTGCTCAGTGATCCTGCGTTATTGTTGCAGGGAGATGCTGAAACTAGCGGGAGGAAGCCGAAGTGGTCAGCATCCTATGCAGCTGTGACAGTGGCATGATTCTGAACCCTTGTGATGCAGTGTCAGGGCTGGGAGCAGTGGAGAGCTCAAAGTTTGCTGGAACTCTCCAGGATGAGTTTTCCTCACTGGTGAAACCCGGGACATTGCTGTGTTCCACCTCCCTCCTACCACCCCTTCTTCTTCCTCTGCAGGATAAACACTCACTGCTACACCAGCCAGTGACCAAGTAGGAACTTGAGCTCTGCTTATCCCAACAGACCTATTTATTTCAGCTAATTGCTGACAGTTTTTAAATGATTCCTGGCAGGGGTGAAGCTATAGAAATGATTGCTGGTGAGTGATGACCTGGATAAAATCCCCAAGGCATTGAGAAAATTAACTCTTGCATGGCTACTCTTCCATTTAGTGCTTTGCCCACAGAGAAAGGTGTGGGAGCAAATTCCAGATGAAGGAGTGTGAGTTTAACTGTGCAAATACAGAAACACAGCCTTTGCTAGCACCAGCATCTCTTCCACACAGGCTGATTTCTCAAAAATGGTTCATGAGAACAATATTTAACCCCAAGCCTCACTACCATGATCAGAATCATAGAATCATAGAATGGCCTGGGTTGTAAAGGACCACGATGCTCATCTAGTTTTAACTCCCCTGCTATGTGCAGGTCACCAACCGCCAGCCCAGGCTGCCCAGAGCCACATCCAGCCTAGCCTTGAATGCCTCCAGTGCTGGGGCATCCACAGCCTCCTTAGGCAACCTGTTCCAGTGCCTCACCACCCTCTGTGTGAAAGAAATCATTCTTGGATGAGAATGGTCTTTGAAGAGCAATCACAATTGGTCAGAGGAGTGCACAGAAAGGACCAATAGTTTGAAGTTTATAATCACAATGTTATGCTTTGGTTTGAACTGTTTTTGTATTTAGTGTACCAAAATGCAAGAGCAAGGTGCGACATGGATTCTGTACATCTCAATGGGTCCAGATAGTGGCCCTTAATGGGAAATATCATAGTCTAACAGAAATTTTGGGGTAACTGGGTGACACTTTACAGCCTCCATAATACAGAAAATAGATTAGATTGTTTCCTCTGCTTGAAAATTGATGGTTTGGAGGGAATGGGAAAATGCAGGTGCAGCAGAGGAGAACTACAGCAATAGCCATCTATTTAAATGTATATACTCACTTCCCTAGGCTAGTATTTTTTTCAAAAACCCTACCAGCAATATTTTCCACTATAGAGAAGCATTATTGTGAAATGAGAAGATGCTGAGGAAGCCATTTTTCCAGCATGCGCTGCATTCTTTTAATACAGATTTTTTTTATTTCCCGGAAATTGCTAACCAAAGTGAATCAAGTGGGCATGTGCCCAACCTTGCTAATAGCAAGAAGCTGTCATCGAGTGAAGGGCCTTTGCAATGCATAGAAGAAAATGATGTGTTAAGCGTTCAATTCTGTCACTGCAAGAAGCTTTATTTCAAATAGAGCAACTTCTGCACGTGCACAGAAATAAGGTTTTACGTTCAAAAGGTACAAATATTATTCACATTTCTGAACAATGCACCTTCATTCCTGTTCCTGCACTAAGCACTGAGCAGAAGCAGGCTCTTTTTTATTAGCCATCAATTACTGAACGTGTGCAAAACGACACATGTACTGTTGGGTGCTTGCAAAGTCCTCCTTCGTGCAACTGATTGTGCTGACAGCTCAGCCCCGTCCCTACAACCAAATGAGTGAAACAAGGCAGCAGCAGGGCAGAGTCAAGAAACAAGGCTGCACAAGTCTGGAGTCCTACAGTCTGCAATCTGCTTGAGAAAGGAGGAAATACTGCTCATTTTGAGTAAGGCACAGATTGTAGCCGTGTTTATTTGATGCTGTACATGCCTTAAACAGGAATAGTGCATCGTCATGATTCAACATCTGAACCATCGTGTGTTCATGTATGATGAAAGCTATTTAATTGCCACCATGTCACCTCAGCTGAAGCATCTTGTTAGCTGTGAGCATGCCAGCTGCTCATGCACTGTAACACACAAGTAATTAAAAGTGGTTTAGCATGGTACCACTCTGCAATTCCACCGTTTGAAATAATTTTGCCCTAATACCTCACTGATGTGACAAACCTAGCCTGTCTGAGCATGCATCACTGCTTCCCATCCTGCAGCCTCTCTGAACCTCATAGCACATTTTTCTTCTTTTTATATCAGAGCCTGCTGCAAAAAAGCACTTGAGAAAGCAATGCTCTGCTATCTCATTTGGAGTGAGAGCCCCCAGAAGAGACATACATTGAGCATTACCAGTAGCACATGACTCGGTGCCTTGTAGCTCTCTTTGTAAAAGGAAGGAGAGAAAAGCCAAAGAGCCATAGCGCGGCTTTCAGTAAGTGCTGCAAAAGAAAAGTAGCCCAGGAGGACAAATGTGGTGTTCCTGTGCCCTTGCCAAAGGACAGGCACAGCTGAGTGCAGAAACAAGTGAAGTTAGAACCGCCTGTGTGCTGAACAGCTCTGATTCCGTGTATTTCTCCTACAGATTTCTAGCTGCTCCTAGCTCAGTTACTAGCAGTGACACCGACTACAGGTGCCCACATCTTCGCTTGGCGATGAGCATTTCATGCAGGAGGCCATTTAGCATGCAGACACTGGGAAACGTTTTATCAGCTCTACCAGGGCCCCGTCTCTGCTGGAATTTGGAAGTGCAGCAGTACAGCTTCTCTTAGAGCTCTGAGAGGCCTCCGGTTGGGCTGGGGTGAAGGACAGGTGAGTGTGTGCCTCAGCTCCTGCTGCTCTGAACCCAGCCCTGGCTGCAGCTGGGAGCTCACCCAGGCCAGCTGCTACAGCTTTACCCAGCTGATTTTGAGCATGTGGACTGGCTTAGAAGTGGCTGAAGATCCATGCATAATCATGACACTGCTTCACTGAGAACTTTCCATCACCGTGACAGTTTCCCTTGGCATCATTATGACAGCTATCTGTGCTGGTGCAGATAAGCATCTGTCACTGCATCCATTAGGATCTCCTATTTTCCCGAGTTCATAGCTCAGCCATAAAAAACATTGTGTGGTGGCAGAAACTTGACATACAAGGTCTCAGGCTGAGAGTGATCATTGGTGCCTTTTTTCTCCCTCTGTAATCTGAAGAAGAAAATAATTTGCTTATGTAAGACACACCTAACCCCAAAGTATGGATCCAGACACAGATTTATTTAGTGATGGCTGCCTCGCAATATACAAGTAAGGTAAGGCCTATCTCAAGTTCTGCATTAGGGAAGATAGGAAAGATATGTGTTAAGCTGGGTTCAGGCTTCTGGTTGGTAGAAATCAGGAAAGGACCAGTGGTTTTGGAGTTCCAGGTAATTAGATGAAAAAAATTGAAGATTATAGAAAATAATGATTGAAGATGGTAAAGTACTAAGAGCTACGGGTACCTTTGGTATCATAGCAGGGGAACAGCAAGCCCAGCATTACTTCTAACATTTTCTCTTGTGAGGCAAGCAGCACCGTATTCCATCCCACAAAGTCAGCATTACCCAGCAAGCAAAAAGGATGGCATTCACTCCCTGTTTTGGGTGCTTTAAGCAGCCTTCCACCCCATAATTGGTGCTGTTGTTGCCTACTGATCAGTGAAAACTGCATCCTGGTGCTAGCAATACTAGGAATCTACCATACAGACCCTGGCCCTGCAGGAGCAGAGGTGTAATACCAGCAGCATTTTGCCAGGAGGAAGAGGAGGGAGTATTTCACTGGGCAATGGACCTGGTACAGCACTGCTCTTTCCCTCTTGATCTTCTTTACATTTTACTCATGCATGTGTTTACGTGCTGGTTAATGATGAATAGAGCAGCTGAAAATCTTTTCTTTGTACTTGAAGATTCTGGCATAAGCTTGAAGGGAACAAACAGAACTAACAGGCAAACATGTTTTACAAAACTCGTGTTCAGGACTTCAAGGATGTGTAAAGAAAGGTCGACGTTCATTTCTAGCCTGCAGAAACACAGATTCTACTTCTGACCTCTTCAGAGCATGCTCTAGTTCTGTATTTTCAACACGGCTCCACTCTCAGAGTGAAGAGGAAGGCTGTACTCAGGCAGTATGCCTGTGCATTAAAATTGGACATCTGATACTTACTAAGACAAATCTTTTTGAAAGCTAACATCTTTCTGTTGATTCTGGATGTAGTAACATGCTTCCTGATTGCAAACTGTTTTGCATTAGACTTAGCTTGGCCTGGTCACACTTCTGAAAAATGGTAAGATGTGTTGCTTAGCTCTTCTTGCAGGCTTGGCCTTGCCATACACAGGCAATTTAGCACCTACCTCCAGCACACCAAAAACCATGATTACTTTCAGAATTTGCTAGAAACTTTGGCAAGAACAAAAATACAAATGTAGAGTAAGCAATTTTGGTACAGATAGATAACAGAATTTTAAGCCTAAAGCATTTGTTCAGTTAAGTAAAGAGAATAATAAAGAAGAATGGAAAAGTTCTGCTATTCTCTTTTCATTCTGCCTTTTAGCGGAGGTACGGCTTTGCTATTTCCAGTTTTCTTGCATCCTCGGGCACGTTTTTATCTAACATAACTGTAAGAAAAACATGCTTCCTTGTTTGATGCGTGACGGTCCTCGACCCATCCAGAGATTTATGCATTTTTTCTGTTGGATGGCTCCTAGTGAGTGTTTTGCATCTTCTGTAAGCTATTGAATAAAATCTTTGAGATTTCATGGGGCTGCAGAAGTTGCTCATTACTGTAGTCCACTGGAGTGATACAAAAGCGAATATTAATGGCTCCTGTAGTAGCTTGACATTTTCTTTTCACAGTTCATACAGTTCTTTTTCTGTTTTGGAACAGGTATTTTGTGATGGTAATCAAGTTGTACAAGCTACAGATGTGCTGGACTGGGAAGACAAGGATGCTGCAGAGACATTAGTGGACAACGTGGTCCACTCCAGGATCATCAACCCGCTACGTCTGTTTGTTAAGCCATCCCCAGTACTGAAACATGGCCAGGTGTCCTACTCAGACAGCATAGAAAACTTTTGGGATTGGTTGTCCAACATCACGGAGGTTCAGGAATCTCTCACACGAACTAAACGCAGACCTATAGTAAAAACGGGGAAATTCAAGAAGATGTTTGGATGGGGCGACTTCCACTCTAACATCAAAACTGTTAAACTGAATCTCCTGATCACAGGGAAAATCGTCGATCACGGCAACGGCACCTTCAGTGTTTATTTCCGACATAACTCCACAGGTCTGGGAAACGTTTCTGTGAGCCTGGTGCCACCTTCCAAGGTGGTCGAATTCGAGTCGTCTCCACAGTCAACTTTGGAGACCAAGGAATCCAAGTCCTTCAATTGCCGCATCGAGTACGAAAAAACAGATCGCGCTAAAAAAACTGCCTTGTGCAACTTCGACCCCTCAAAGATCTGCTATCAAGAGCAGACCCAAAGCCATGTCTCCTGGTTGTGTTCTAAACCATTCAAAGTTATCTGCATTTATATCGCCTTTTACAGCGTAGATTACAAACTGGTGCAAAAAGTCTGTCCCGATTATAATTACCATAGCGAGACTCCGTACTTGTCCTCTGGCTGACACAGCCTTGACAAACTGTACAGATCCAGCACCAGTCATAAAAGTAAGCGTCTCCATTAACCTTCTGGAGAGGAATATGTTTTTCCTATCAGGTTCAAAAGTCTTTAAGAACCGTAGCTGTGTTTGTGCTGTATCGTAACTAATCAAACTGTTTACGTAACGATCATTTTCATTTGAGACCATTGCATTTTAGTATTCTCACTGTTCATAAGGGAGCTACTAGGCAGACATGATTAAAAAAAAAAAATCAAAGCAAATTATGTCCGTAATGAGCATCGATCTTGAAAATCAGTTTTTTAAAGTACACTCCAAGGCAGAGAGGTTATCTTTCACTTGAATTCGACAACACTTAGCAGGAAATGATTCTCTTTCTCACTGGGAACCTTAGGAGATGACAATATAAAAAGCAAGTTATAAAGATGACTCTCAGCTGCTTCCATAGAAAATCCAAATGAACAGCTCTCCCACTAATTTCATAAAGTATCGAGTCCAAATATGAAAAGAAAGCATTATTTCTAAGGGAGAGGAGAAAGGAAGGAAAGGATTTCTATGAGCTGTGGTAGTTGTATGTATTCATCAAAGTGAAGAGTGAGTAGTACTTCCTTCAGACTTCTTGTCCATGAATATGCAATGATGTAATTAGATATTGATGAGCTTTAGTTTATTAGACCCACCAGGTGTGCAGGTTTGGTGTACATTTCCTCCTATTGTCACCAGTGGTTCTGACCATCCCCAAGCATTAACACATGCACCAGTACTCGTTTCACAGTGACTGAGCATATGTACCCTGGAAAAAGATAATCTCTGTTTAGGTCTGCAAACGGTGCCAGCTTCCATGGGAGGGAAGTGACTGTCTTGCTTCTTAGGCCTCAGCACCATGTTGTGGCAAGGAGAATCCATCAGCAGGGGGAGGAAATTTTCTGCTTAATGGCACCCGGTTGTCTTTCTTAGTACTCCATATTTAAGATCAATATATTAAGCAATGAAAAATAAAGAGGACAACACAGATCTATGCACCTTCACCTCATAGAGCAGATTCCAAACAATTGCTGTTGGTGTAAAGTACTCACCTGGACAACACACCCACATGGAACCATGTTGCTCTGTCACGGTTGAGTGTGACAGCCCAGGGTCTGGCTGTGGTTTGGTTCTGCAGGACAGTTAGCTCCAGCAGTGCAGCTTCAAGCACAAATTCCTTGCCATTTCTTTGGGTGTTGATTTACCACTGCTGTCAGTCTGCTGTCACAGCCCCATATCACAGGTCCTGTGGAAAAAGCTAGCTGAGGGAGTGCTTCTATTGCCTGTAGTCAAACTAACATGCAGGGAGCAAGAAGTCGAACGTGGCTTAAATGAGGTACTGCTAAAATAATCAGTTCGAGTGCCCTGTACACCCCAACAGCCCAGAAGGACTCACTCATGAGATCAATTCCCATTTCATTGATAAAATCTCATAGAAAAAATTACTGTTAAAATATGAAAGTAACGATTAATTTGTTTCTTCTTCATGTGACCAAACTAAACGTGTGGTTTTGTTTTGCCAAGAACCTAACTGCTTTGCTTTCCTTCTTCTCATACAGAGTCCCTCCTGTTCTAAATAATGTTTTTCAGTTTGTCTCTTACTGTCGATTCCTACAAGGTGTTCTACTTTGTATTCTGTATAGCGTGTCCTTGTTCCAGCTGTATATAAGCTCGGATTTATTGCTATGAGTTCAGTGTCTGGTGCTTTTGTAACTTAGCTGTAAGCCATGATTTTATTGCCATGTATTTTTACTCAGCACTGTAGGCAATTGAAAGAAAACCCTACATGCTATTTATTGTAGAGTATGTGGAAACCATGTATGTATATACACTTGAATATGTGTACATATACAGAATATATGTGTACATGTATTTGTATGTAAATAAAGAGAGTTTGCTAAATCTGTCACTCACTCGCAGCATATTTGGTTGTGTTTTTTCTCCCAGTTTGGTTTGGTGGCTTTATGGGGACAAAAATAAATGACAAAACACTCCCACAACATATTGCTGAATATTTGTGCCAAGTGCCATTTCTTCTTCTGTGAGGTATTTAAGTCTGCAGTACAGTGGGCAAAATAAGTTCAGTAGCATTCATGAGGGTCAAGGAAAGAAGTGCACGCGTTGCTCAACACAGTCATGAACTGCTTCAGCAAATGCCCCCGAGCAGGCCACTGAAAGTAGAAGAGCTGTGCTAAACGAGAGGTGCTATGGAGCCTCAGGGTCTGCATTACAGCAGCCCAAACATCTTCCTGTGGAGGAGACTGCCTGCATGGAGCTCTGGCCCTCAGCAGCAGCATCTCACCACTTTTTGGGCGCCGTGCAAGGTGTTCCAACCACCTCCACCCCAAGCTTTGGCACAAGATGACAGTTGTGACAGCTATGCCAGAAAACTCACTGTGAACCACTGCATTTTTTCCAGTCAATGCATTAAAAATCAGGTTAAAAGCATCACATTATACTTTTTCGAACCAATTTTGAGAAACTGACTGCAAGAAAAGACTTGTGATCTGATTGCAGTCAAAACCAGGGGAAAAAGAAACCGCTTCAACCTAGCAGGTTCAGCACAAAGTGCACCAATGAACCTAACAGTATGGCTTTGCACGTATTTAAATACTGATTTGCATTGATCTAAAGTCCTTGGTAAGTGTGCCTGTTCTCCCCATCACTTGGATATACATCGCTAAAGCTAGCAGCGGCAGGCAAATGATGATATGCACCGGAGTCAGGCGGCTCTTTTTCCTTCAGGCAGTACATCGTACATAAATGCAGGAACGGCAGCCATTTGGTGTTTTATTTTTAATCATTTCAATGGATGTGGAAACCCCTGAACGATTCTGATGTGGCTGGAAACGCTCTCACAGCAACGAGGCGAAGGCGTTGGGTGCAAATCAGCCTCCCGTGCTGCCCTTTCTCCCCCATCAATCACGTGTAATTCAAGGACATTAGAATGTGCTGTTTGTTTTATGCTCTGTTGACCAGCGTAATCTGGATAATGTTTTATTTATAGTATAATAATGATTTGTCATTATCACTGTTCCTATTCAAATATGCACAGTAGAAACGACAGTAACAAGCCACAAACCAAGCAGCTCAATGAGACGCACATCACTCAAATGCACTTCTAGCTGTAGGCTGTCTCATCTGAAAAAACAGATCCTGCCATTCCCATCTGTGCCTCGTGAACACCTCAGACGTCCAGCAGAAGCAGTTTTAATACAGCTAATAAAATGTTTCTAATGGATTGGCAACTGGTACTGAATTGTACTTTGAGAATGTGGTACTGTATTCATCACTGACAAAAAAAAAAGCCCCTACAAATCAGTGTAATTCCTTCCCAGGTTACGAGGTAACTGGATGGCAAGAGCTGAACCCAGGTCCACCACCTGCTCAAGTCTGCACTTGGAAGTGACACGATGTGGACATGATCTCCTGGACACACAGCAACACCTTCCTGCAGTGCTGCTGCCTCCAGCCCAGTGCCTCGGTAGGCTTCAGACAGAAGCAGGTCTGCAGCTGTGGGTACTCCAGCAGGAAACCTGGAAACTGAGACTGAATTTTGTAGGCAAAAATTCACAAAGAATGCTTTTCCTAAGATGCAGCTTAACACAAACCCCCTGGATGCTGGGATGCAGAGGCAGTGTGGTGCATCATTAAGGCAGTCACCATGCCAGAGCCTCAGCTCGACATCAGGCCACACCATCAGGCCACATCTGACTTATAAAAGCCATACGGGGTCAGAGTGCCACACTCACCCCTTTCAGCTATCCAGAAGCTGCTTCTGAAACACTTGCTGTGTGCCATTGCTCTCACTTCGCCATCACTGGGAAGCAGCACAGTTCTATTACCACTGACCTCGGACCATCGCCTCACATCTCGGCTGTCACTCCCCATGCTCGCTCCATCCTGCTGTACACTTTAGCCACCTCAAATGCAAATCTGGCTTCTCTATTCTCCTGCCTCATTCCCAGACTGTATGTGGCTCTTTTGTCATTATGCAGCCAATTAAGTTTTGGCTACCTTATCTTAACAGCTCCAAATAAGCAGGCGATATTCCTGAAAGGTGATACATTATAATTGGGTCCAAATTGGCAAGGAAGGGAACAGTGAAATAGGAAGCAGTGAGGTTATTTGCATTAGCTCATAAGGTAAAAATGAAGAAGAAAGCAGAACCAAAGCTATCAGTTATCTCCTAGTATTTTAAGATTCGTATCATCTGCTACAGCCAATGCCACTTCCCAAGCTGTGAGACTTGGGATCTTTTGGTGTGGGGATCCTACAGGAGACAGTGATGCTGCCAGATCCAGATGCACCAACTGCAATAACCACATAACAACTTGCGTTATTTTCTTGTAGTCTGCTCTTAAAACCATCAGTCCAAGTTTTCAAAACGTATCAGGCTGATTTTAGGTCGACTGTTTCAAAACTTGAGCTGATGTGTTCCAGCTTAGTGAGAACTGAGCACTGAGCTGCCTTTGGTCTACGTAAATCAGTACAACTCTGTTCTTGCCTCATCGCTTGGGTGTTCCTGAAGCACACACCAAAACAGCAGGCGATGCTGAGCAGACTTACACTGCTAACCTCACATCTTGGTGAGGGATATTTAACACAGATTTCTGGGGAGAGAAACCAAGGGATTAAAAATATTTCAAGAAGCCACATTTAGGACGATAAGCGAACCTATTCAGTACCATACAGTACTTGAGAAGTGGATTGAAATTAAGTAGTTTTATGTCAGATATATTTAACTGCGGCGTTTCTGACATCCATCACTGAAGATTTGGATTAGCCCAAGAGCTCTGGGGAAGCAAAGGAAACGATGCTCACCTGAGCTAGAGGTGATGCTGGCTGCCATCTCTGCTCCCTCTACCACCTCCTCCTTCCTGGCTTTCACACAGATGCAAACAGCAGACCGAGCACAACCTGACTGCTCACAGTAACAGCAGCACTGTAGCTGAATGGCACTCGGCAGCTCAGGCTCTCTGTTGAGATCTGAGTGGCAGCTGTCCTTTTATCTGGCCAAAGGAGAAAGGTATTTTGATACATTGCACCAGCAGAGCCCCCTACTTAAAACTTACAACACCAATATTGAGTGGTGTTGCCAGAAGCAGATTAATTGCAGCTTCCAGGGAAAACGGAGCTTATTTCACAGTGACTTTTATTCCCACTTGAATTAAGTTCCTTACGTTGCTCTGCCTCATTTGAATTTTTTGAATTGGTTTTGCATAGTATCATTTACTGATGTGCTATCTTTAATTACATAACACACATGCTCTCACCAACTGCATTATTAATGGAAGCGTTTTTAATTAAATGGCTCTCAGCATAATATTCAGTCATTAATTTCACACATCCGGGACATGGAGAGATTCCATTCTGATGGTCCAGAGAAGTTTGGTACTTTAGATGAGGAATACTTCCACAGTGATAGTTTTAGAGTGAAGTTGGAAATCATTACAAGCACTGAATCACCCTCTCAGCAGCTGGTGCCACCGTTCTGCTCTGCTGGGTGTTATCTATTCTTGGGCTGAACTGCTCCTTTTGCTCTCCAATGCTTCACCGCTGGTAATTTCCACATGCCTCTCACTGGGCTCATGTATATTCCACAGTGCATAATATCAGAGTTCCTTCTCAGGAACAATTTGGGACCTTGCCACCAAGGCTGCTCCTTCTAGAAGGAAAAACCCCACACCCTCCTTTCTAATTGCACCCTGCCCATCTGCCTCAACTGCTATGCTTTTAGAGCATCCCTGCTCCCAGGTCTAGGCCTCTCCCCATCCTCCCCACCTCCAGTTGGAGGGAAGAGTGACCTTGGAAGTCACTTTTTGGTCTTCCTAAAGAGCTCAAGGAACTCAAGAGCAATAGGTTCACACTATCTTACACGTTTGACTGGTGGGTTTTGCAGTGTGCGCCCATTTCTCCTTAAAGGTAATTTCACATACAAAAAGTATTCCAGTAAGATTCTTTCTGGTACTGATCCTGCTATTAGTCTCGAAGCAATCAAGTCCTGGGTTGAAAAGGACCACAATGCTCATCTAGTTTCAGCCCCCCTGCTATGTGCAGGGTTGCCAACCAGCAGACCAGCCCAGAGCCACATCCAGCCTGGCCTTGAATGCCTCCAGGGATGGGGCATCCACAACCTCTTTGGGCAACCTGTTCCAGTGCATCACCTCCCTGTATGAGTAAACTTTTTGAATTATACTCTTTCCAAAGAGCTGTTCTCTGACATCTTAGGCTTAAAAACCTTCCCCCACAGCAGAGATCAGAAGCCCTGCACGTCCTCTACGCTGCAGGGAGGTTGGACTCAATGACCTCTGGAGGTCCCTTCCAGCCCCTACAATCCTGTGATCCTATTCTTCTGGCTGACATCACATAGAGGTTCCTCTCTGCTCATGCTTTTGAGATTTCTCTCTGCTCTGCCACTCTACAGCTGCAATCCTCTGACACTGTGATGCTGCAGCAAGACATGGCCCCACACTCCTCCAGCTCCACCTCTGCAAAGAGCACCTTGTGAATGAGGAGAGGAGACACAGAGGCTGTATAAATCAGAGTAAGTGCTGTGAGATCTGCCATCGGGAAGGTGAAATCAATCTCCGCCTTCCTGGAGCATCAGAAGAACAGAAAGGACTTCTGCTATGACAACAGGATAGTACACACAGACCTCCAAGTGCATTAGAAATGGATTTCAGAAGAGAAATAATTCCAGTGCTATTATGTGACAAGATTAATTATAAAATATGCCCACATCCCAAGCACTTCATGTCTACATAACACATTGCACCATAATGAATATAATTGAAAGTATGACTTCCATCAATATTTAATTAGCATTTGGTGCTAACTCATTATTTTGGCACAATTAATTTGACATCTTGCTATATGGCCGGCGCAGATCTCCTTCTAGAGGGCTGTTTTA